CTAAAGACCTTGGCCTGCACTTAAACACAATCGGCGCTGACAAGTTTACCATCTGCCAGCTGCAAATGGCCACCTGACACAGATCTGCACACATGATTTGCCGATACATCACATAGTCCTAGACAATTGGGATGGGAGCCCCCAGTGGCACAGTGGGTTAAACTGATGACCAACAGGTCATAGGTTCAAAACCAGGGAGAGCACGGATGAGCTCCCTGTCACCTCCAGCTCCCTATGCGGAGACATCAGAGAAGCCTCCCACAAGGATGGTAAAACATCAAACTCTCCGGGTATCTCTGGGCAACATCCTTGAAGACAGCCAATTCTCTCACACCAGAAGCAACTTGCAGTTTCTCAAGGTGCTCCTGACACGAAAAAAAAAACTTGGGAAAAAAACGTGTGATCCAATAGAACAGCCAACATAGTGATCTTGTTTGCTGTGTATTAGTCTTGTGTTTCAAATAATAATAATAATAATAATAATAATAATAATAATAATAGCTCTTCAGAATGAGCACAGACCACATTATCATCCGCATATTGGAGTTCTAGGACAGATGTGGCGAGCGCCCTTGGTTTTGGCTTCCTTGCAGGAGGCAGCCGACAGGGGGCGCCGGCGTGTGAGGAACGAGCACGCCCCTTCCTTCTTGGGGCCTGCGCGCGCGCGCCGCTTCTCTGCGCTTCTCCTCTCTCCAGGCATCACCCTCCGCGAGGGTCGCGCGCCATGGCCAAGCGAAGGGCGGAGGCGTTGGCGCTCGGGCCTCCCTGCGCGCGCTTCTTCCCTCACGCGCCGAGGCCGAAGCGCCGGCGGATCGATCTGGAGCTGAGATGCGCGGCGCTGCCGAGCGGGGAAAGCGGTTGCCGCCTCAAGCGCAAGCGGGAAGCGATGGAGAGAGGCGGGAGGGGAGAGGGAGGAGGAGGAGGAAGAGGAGGGGGCGGCCACGAGGAAGAAGCAGCCGGGCAGAGCAAGCGGCGCGCGGCGGAGGAGGAGGCAAGGGGGGCCCCGGAAAAGGAGGAGGAGGAGGAGGAGAAAGAGTTGGCAGCCTCCCCGGCCCAGGAGGTGAGAGAGGCGGGCAAGAGAGGGAGGCGTGAGCGCAGGCCGCGCTTGGAAACCTGCCCTTCCTATTCCTGTATTGTTACCTCTCTTAAAGGGGACTCCTCTTCCATGCTTGCAGTTGCTCTTATCATTACTGTTATTATTATTTTTATTATTTCTATCCCATTTTCCTCTCCTAAAGGGAACTCCTATCCCCATGCTTGTAGTTACTCTTATCATTACTATTACTATTATTTTTATTATTATTTCTATCTCACTTTCCTCTCTTAAAGAAGTCTCCTATCCCATGCATTTACTCTCTACATTTTCAAACCTTGGGTTTTCAGCCAGGTCATGATCAATAGCACTACAAATGCATATTTGAATTAAAGGGGGGGGGGGGTTCTGTTTATTATTTATTTATTTATGACATTTAGATGCCTCCCTTCTCACCCCGAAGGGGACTCCGAGCGGCTTACAGGTGATGTGTACATACAAGGTATTATATTATTAGCATAGAACAATATTTATGTATTTATTTATAATTCAAACTTATATGCCGCCACTGCCCTGGGGCTCGGAGCGGCTTACAAGAACAGGCTAAAATCTAACACAATTTAAAAACAACAATATCAGAGATCAAAGGCCTGTCGAAACAGATATGTGTTACATGCCTTGCAGAAATCTGATAGGTCCCGCAAGGCATGGACTTCAGATGGCAGAGTTTCCCAGAGTGATGGTGCCACTGCTGTGAAGACTCTGTGTCTGGTTGCTGTTAAGCGCAAGGTCTTGACACTGGGAATTTCCAATAGATCTTGGACCGCAGAACGGAGGGATCTCTGGGGTTGGTAGGGGGTGAGGCGGTCCCTCAGGTACATCGGCCCCAGACCATGCAAGGCCCTAAAGGTGAGTACCATCACTTTGAAAGTGATCCGGTGCTCAATTGGTAACCAATGCAGCTGTAGTAAGATTGGTGTTATGTGGGCATCTAATCGGAATTCCCGCAAGAAGCCATAAGTAATATATTAGTATTATATATTACTATATTGTACAATACCACTATACTGTAATATTATTAGTAATATTACATTTATATGAAATATAAAATTAGTATATTTTATTATTAGTACTATATTGTATTACATTATAATATTATCAATATTATATGTATATA